GTTAACTTGGATAAAGGCAAAGCAATCTGAGAAAAACTTTTAGCAAATCTTCTATAGTAACCTGCCAATCCGAAGAAACTTCTGACTTCTTCCACATTTGTTGGTCTTGGCCATTTCACTACAGCTTTAATCTTTTATGGGTCTACATATATTCCTTCTCCACTGACAATATATCCCAGAAATGAAATTTCCTTCAACTAGAACTTGCACTTAGAATATTTGATAAACAATTTATGTTGTTGCAGTACTTCAAGTACAACCTTTAAATGCTCTGCATGATTTTTACCATTCTTGGAATAGATTAAAAATGTCATCAATAAATATAATTACAAATTGATCCATATAAAGTCTAAAAATTATGTTCATCTTATCCATGAATTCTGTCGGGGCATTAGTTAACCCAAAAGGCATAACCAAAAATTCATAGTGTCCATATCTGGTACCAAAAGCAGTCTTTTCTACATCACATTCCTTCACCCTAAGGTGATAACCCGATCTCAAATCAATTCTAGAGAAAACAGAAGCACCTGCCAATTGATCAAATAAGTCATCAATCCGGGGAAGAGGATACTTGTTTTTAACTGTCACCTTGTTTAATTCTATGTAATCAATGCATAGTCTCATTGACCCATCTTTCTTTTTAACAAATAATACAGGTGCACTCCAAGGAGATGAACTAGGTTTGATAAAACCCTTATCAATCAATTCAATTAATTGACTTTTCAGCTCTTGTAATTCCTTGGTTGCCATTCTATAAGGTGTCTTGACAACAGGACTTGTGCCAGGTTGTAAATTAATTTGAAAATTCTACTTCTCTTTCTGGAGGTAACTCATTCCATTCCTCAAAGAACACATCTATGAATTCATTCACAATAGGAATAGAAGATATATCATCAACTTTTATACTTTTATGCACCTGATTACAAGAAATCAATGATAAATTGACTCCTCTTTCACACTGAAAATAAAATACTTCTTCTCCTGGCAAATCAAATCTGACATTCTTCTTCCAACATTCAATAATTGCAAAGTACTTGATTAACCAATCCATTCCTAGAATTATATCGAATTCTACCAAGGGAAACACTATCAGATCTGCTTGAAATTTTCTACCAGCTATCATAAAATCTATTGAACACCTCGCACTGGCATTCAAATAATTACCCGCAGGTAATCTAACATGCAAACTAGGAGTAAAAGAGACATGTTCCACGTTTATTTTTCCACAAAATATCTCAGATATAAATGAATGTGATGCACCAGAATCAAAAAGTACTCTAGAAGATAGATATGAGATATTTAAAGTACCTGTCACCACTTCAGAAGAGTCTTTGGCATCTTGGGAAGATAAAGTAAAAACTCTAGCTGGTACAGATCTGCCGGCGTCACTAGAGGTTTCTCCTTTTATCTTAAAGTCAGGTTGATGCATCTGTGGCCTAACACCTCTGAACTGATCCATCCTCTGACTGTCTCTAACCTCTATACCTCTTTGAACATTCTTTGGACAATTCCTCTTAATATGACCTAATTCTCCACATAAATAACACTTTCCTGAATTCATTAGGCATCTTCCTTGGTGAGATTTTTCACAGGTTGTACAAACATGTATTGCAGGTAATCTCAATGGTTGTTGATATTGACTTTGTTGGAATTTCTGTCTTTTTGTGGATCCTACCTTGTGATCACTTTGTCTCTTTCTACTATCAATCTTCCATTTCTGTTTCACCAATTCTATATCATTCTCTAGTAATCTAGCACTTTCCACTAATTCAGCAAAATCTTTTATACGTAGAGGAATTAATGGTTATCTCAGTGAGTCCCTCAATCCTTTTAAAAATCTGTAACAAATTTTTTTTCAGAAATAATGATAAGTTGTGGTGCATATCTTGAAAGAACTGTAAATTCTGTTTCATATTGAATGACAGTCTTAGATCCTTGCTTCAGGTTTACAAAACTTTGCTGTACTGCTTGCCTTGTTGATGGAGGAACATACCATTCTCTGAAGATCTGCTCAAATTCTTCCCACATGATTTGTTCCTCTGATCTACCTCTGAATTTCTCCAATTATTGTCCTCTCCACCATCTTTATGATTCGCTCTCTAGCATAAAAATTGCTAGAGATACTCTTCTATTATCAGAACATTTCATTCCAATTAAAACTTTCTCTATTCTGATGATCCAATCCTCAGCACTTCTGGCATCAACTCCTCCTTTAAACAAAGGAGAGTTTAGACTTTGGAAAAGTTTTAAATGCTTATCCACTTCTATACTAACAGGATCACCTGCCTCCACATTTATACTACTACCACGAGTGGTAAGAGCAACTGGTGTAACTACAGGTGGACATATGGTGTTGCAGATTCTACCATAGAGTGCATCTTTTCCATCATCTGCATCATAATATTCATCATCTACAGTTGCATCATATTTCCTAACATTGCATTCATAGCCTCCATCCCTACAGGTGCAGGATTTACACTAGGTGCACTGCCTCCTACCGGTGTCACATTTTCAGGATCTTCAGAGATCCTAATAGACTGAGATGATTGACCTTCACCTCCATCATGTATTCTTTCAGTCATTATATATGTAATGCATGTCAATAAGAGTTCTGCATTTAAATCATCCATAAAAATATTTATACTCAAACACATTAAATAGATGTTACTTTATATATTCCTATATAAGTGAAATTGCAATTAGACTTGTTATCTAATTTAGAAATACTAAGTTCTCCTAGGCTCTGTAATAATTCCATCACATTCAATCTTATCCTCTTAAATAATTCATTTTTCTTATGCTTCTTTACTTAAATCCTCAGAATCTTAAGTCTTTGCTCTGATACCACTTTTGTAACACCCCACAATACCCCTTAACAGTAAGGTAGAATGTAACAATAATAAACATAATATTTTCCAACACTAAACATCACATTCATATCATTATATTTCAACCAATTCCCAAGTTCGTCCAAAATCTAGCACAGAGCTACTAAGGAAAACCAAACAAATTCAAAGTAATACTATATTAATTTTTTTTTTTTTTTACTAACCTCAAGAGTAGACATCAAACATAGAATAAACATTAACATAAAATTTAAATACTTGCAGATTAATCTTCTTCCATCTTTTTTCATTCTCTTTCCTGTAACAACAGCCAGTAATAAACTACTGGTGAGCTATGAGACTCCATAAGTGATACAACTTGAAGTAACATTTAAATTACATAATTATAAAATTCTGAATATTGAACATATAAATAAAGTTAAACTACTAGAGCAAACTTCATAAATTCTCATTTGACATTACCCATAAATTCTTCTTACATCCATACTGAATATCAATTTTACTCATTAAAAGATTTGGCTACTCATTCATAAACATATTCAATGGAACCCAGATAAATCTGGCATTATCGCCATTAAATTACATAGAGGTCCCATTTGCCTCTTTGGGGTCCCTTTTGCCCCACATGCTTTGCAGGTTTCATTTCCTTGGGGTCCCTTTTGCCCCACTTACCAAACAGTTTAATATATGGGGACCCTTTTGCCCCACCTGTATCGGTAAGTTATACATAAATCTTTAGCCAAACTTTATTTTTAAATTGATATTCAGTACACCTTTCATTTTCATTATCCATACTAGACTTGCTGCATGTTTTATTATTCATTCATTGTATAACAGGAATATGCAATTATAAGTAAAGAAAATGATCTCTTTCCAAAACATTATCAATAAGAAAAATATTTAAGTGAACATAATAAATCTTTATTTAAACTCACATAATTAATTTATGTAAGTGGTTAATCATATTTGGAAACTTGTAAGTATATTCCTTTTCTAAGCCTTTCACAAAAGGTTGATCAAACATGTATAATATCAATTCATTTACCTTCAAGACTACTTTCCAAAGTGCCATTAAAAGCATTGTACATGTTTAATGATAATATATATACAAAAAAAATACTTGCATCACTTACATCCTTGTCTAGTCGTCTCTTCCAATGATCTACTTCGCACCCTTCTACGATTGTATGCCACCTCAAAATTTTCTCTTTGCATAAGACCAACAAAACCTTTTCTATCACTTCCTTCTTTCCTTCAATTCTGCATTACGGTTATTTCTCTATTTTCCTTTCATTCCACTTGCCTTATACCGCATTCACAAAGCAAGCAATTTTTCCTTCAGACTTTGTACTAAGCGCTGCCCTCTGCTTACAGGAAGAATTCCGCCTCTTGCTACAGCGGAATTTGCGAATTTCCTGTCCATTTCTGCGGTTTCTTCTACAGTCCCGAGAGAACATTCAGCCGAATTAAAGAATAGTCCCTCTTGCACTTCAATTGTTCAACCGTTGTTCTCTCTTCCGTGACAACACTAATCCATGCAGATAACTAGATAAGGTTAAGTGTGGGCCCAAGCTATAACTGCTATTACCAATCCAAGCATCTATTCAGAATATTACTAACTATCTTATTTGGCTTTAATACTAAATCAGTCACTATATTTGTTGATATTAATATAACAATATTCAATATTAATTTTACATATTTAATATTAATCTCATTAACAGATAGTTAATAAATTAATTTGAATTTTATACAGATTTATACATTTAGCACGTCACCTTATTAGTTGCTTGGATCTTACAATTAATTACTCTTCCATGTAAAGTATAGATTACATAGATATTCTACGCAGTACTATGTATATTTACTCCATTCTGTATGATAATGAAGTGAATATTTCTGACATTCTTTTCTGCCAGCAGTAATATAAATACATGTATAATGTAATGCATATATAGAATGGATAATGAATAAAGAATTAATCCCAAGAAAATCCGCAAGCTGAACCCATAAATAAAATTTTGAAGGTTCATGAGGAAGCAATTTAAGTTGAGTAGCAAAATAGTATGGCATGGAAACTTGTATATAACTTAGCAAAAACAAAAAGAATTTATCATAGTCAACAGATTTTGCTTCCATAAAATTAAGTCCAACCGTGACAATAATCGACTTGTCCTCATTGTAAAGAGGCTGATCGCCCGAAGTAGGATCCACAATTGCCAACCTTTGGTGAGCAAGATAGCAGTCCTGATAGCAATGTATACCACTCCAATCTGGGCCCCTGTGTCGTAACCTGGTTTATGACAAACAAATTAAGGCTAAAGTTTAGGTACTTCACAACTTAAATATCAGACGTGAATACAAGGACATCAAGCTTACTACAAAACTAAATTTAAGCATTCTATTGTTTAGATTTGTCCTAAAACTAAGATTTTTAAATTGGAAAGTTATATCACTCGCCAACACAGAAATCAAGCAGAGAATCACACAAATTTATTATGTGTTTTTAAGAATAAAAGTCTAAGTTTTGTTTGCTACTGTTGTCCTTTATGTAGAGTAATGTAATCTCTCCTCTCATAGAGTTGAACAACCTCCATGCAAGTGTGATGAAGTCGTGGAAGGGGTGCATACCTAGAGCCAGATATTTTCATATAAGATAGAGTATTATTAATTTCACCTATTTATCAATTATTTTCATCTATTATAAATTGTTTCCAAACCCTGGTATTATCGATAGCTACATCAATGATCAAAATTACGTCATAAAAATTATAGTTGTAGACCAACAAAATAACAGGACTTGGCATCTGGCAATGGCAGTGCTAATATGGAGGTCAACCTTAGAGTCCAAAAGCTTTCGTCTGAGTAGATCTAAAACTGAATATATCGAGTATACTTTTAGTAATAATAGATATAGTGGGGGATTGTTACTTTGAGTGATCAAGTCATTCATAAGAGTACACATTTTAAATATCTAATATCTATTGTTCAGAGTGATGGTGAAATAGACGGGGATATTATTAGTAGAATTCAAGTTGGATGGTTGAAGTGGATGAATGCATCGGGCTTGTTGTGGGATAGAAAAGTCCCCCTCAAACTTAAGGAAAAATTATATAAGATGGTGGTGAGACCTTCAATGCTTTATGGTGCAAAATGTTGGCCGTTAAAAGAGAAGCATAATATTATGTTAAGTGTTGCAGAGATGAGGATGTTCAATTGGATGAGTGGCTTTACTCTTAGAGACGGGATACGAAATGAGCATATAAGTGAAAAGGTTGGAGTAGCTCCAGTGAAAAATAAGATTAGAGAGAGTCGCCTTAAATGGTTTGGTCACATAAAAAGGCAATCTTCCGATGACCCGGTTAGAAAAGCAGATGTATTAGATTTAACTTATGTTAAGAGATGTAGAGGTAGACGTAAAAAGACTTGGTTAGAAAATATTAGAAATGACATTTCTTTTTAGATTTAAATGAGAATTTGATTCTTAACATGACACAATGGAAAAAAAGGATTTATGTAGCCGACCCCACATAGTGGGATAAATGCTTGATGTTGTCGTTGTTGTAAAATTAATGGCCAAAATCAATTCTTTATCCAACAAAATAACCATCAATCGATTTGGGGTTTAGCTCAATTCTATCAGCAGATGAAAGGTAGCCAAATCTTTAAATAAAAAAGGTTTATCTCAGCATCAGTACCTCTTCAGGTAGCTTGTAACATATGTCAAAATCTCAGTCATCCCTTGGCATTTGATCTCACGGTCAAGATGAGAATCCGTGAAAGGCTCACCTGGATCACGCCAATATCCTTCTATATTTGGGTAGCTAAATTATGAAGGATTATATTGAGGCAATTATGTATCAATTAGAAGTTATTTATTTCTTTATTAAGACATTTTGTATAGATCTATAAATAGTGATAATTTTGTATAATAATCATAAGGTATTTTCACCCTTCTCAAATTATATGAATTATAACATGGTATTAGAGCCAACGGCCTTAATTGCCGTCGAAGAACGATCCTAAATCATCGGAGGAAGAGAAAATAAGCTCGGGGCATCTGAGACTTGATTGATGCCTACCAGTACATGCCGGACGGGACGAACGACTCAATCGAACTTCCGATCGAAACAGAAGATAGTCGAACAGCCACGAACGAGCCAAAGGAGCCACGCACGCAATCTCTACGCCTCCTGCGAAGCAATGATGCCAAAGCGAAGCATTGCTGAGGATGGATGTCACAGACGAAGCTCCCCTGCCGACAGAAGCTTTCCGATCCAAACGTCGTAACTTCCGATCCGACAGAAAGAGAAAGTTGTCAAAGGAGCGTAGCCACGAAGGAGCCGAAGAAGCGACGTTGGACCCAATGCCAAGATAGGAGATTGGGCGATCATAAAGGCAGGTGTCCAACATCAATGGTTGATGGGCATTGAGCATTAGTCCTACATAAGAATCAAATGATAATCTACTAGGAATGCCTGAAATCTTTCGTAAATTAGCAATCTACTCGATCATTCTCCTAATAGGAGGGGAGATCGGTTGATTGGAAAGATAAGTGTTAGATGCCAAGATAGTTGGCAAGCATTGGATGTCAACCTTGATAGATGTCGAGAAAGACGATGAGGAATATCGAAAGTCGAGTGAAGATTAGCGGTCAGCTCAATCCTTCTCTTAATCAAAGGGGAAATTGGACTACTAAAAAGATAATAATTGATGTTAGTTGACAAATGATGTCAGGCAATGGCAACAATTGGCATTGATGTTGGTCGATGATTGATGTTGATCTGTGACAAGCAAAACTCTAGAAAATTTTCTAAATGCAAAAATTCTCTTCAGCAAAAATACCTTATAAGTGCATCAAAATATTGCCTATTATAAATTTTTAGAGAGAATATTCTGGTCATTTATATCCAAAGTATGGATACTCTATTAAACAATCGAAAAAATCCCTTCTATCATTTGATGTTCTTTTGGACATCTTAATGACTTGATCTTAGAACTAGGCGACCATGGGAACATCAAATTCATCACATCAAGGTACTAGTTTCAACTATAAGCACAATTTAGTTCCGTACAATCAATTTCTTATTATGCTTGTGAATGTTTGATATAGCTGCATTTAAACTTTGATTACAATCTTCGTACCAAAGTTTGTTTCATCAAACAGCAATGCCTCAACTATAAATGTGTTGAAAATATAGTTCAAATGATCCTAAGGTTTTTGGCCTGAAATACTTTGGTGCTTTAATGTTTACGTCAAAATTCTTATTTGATTAGATGAATTTCCAGACGACCTATCACGATAAAATACACATAACAGACAATAGTCATGTCTAGTTAGTTATTCCCGTCTCTAAATAGCTACTCAAGAAAAGGTAGAGCCAAAAATCCAGAAAGACGCTCCCTTTTAGAGCGTTTTAGAAGATAATCGAAGCAGATGTGGCTTCCAGAGCACACTAGACCGCAGCCATCCCAATATAATCCGCAGCAGCCAGAAAACCATTCCACAACCTTTTCTTCAATCCACATGCATACTAGAAGCAAATTAATGAGAGGTTTCATGAAGCCCGTATGTGTATTGTACTTCAAAACGGCTGTAAATCCGTTCCACAAATAGAAACAAGAACAATACAGGGAAATGCTCGTCGTTACACCATTTCGAATACATTTAATAGCGAGGGAGAGAGGAAGAAGACCTGCGTGAAAGCTCGATGATTCGGGACCTCTTGGCAAGGGAGGTATCGGAGCAACCCAGCACGGCGAGAATTCCACACATGGCGGCGGCGGCGGTGGTAAAGCAGGATTTGTTCTCCCTTTTGCTCGAGTCAGGGGACAGGTTCAAAAGAAATGAAATATATATGTATAAATATATAAAGGACACTAAGCGGGGCAACGGGTAGAAGTTGAGGAGAACAAACGAGAGCTTCAAGTGAGTGACCGTTGAATTTCTGGCCACTGTGTCAATTGTCGATTTAGGGCATTTTCCGGCTCCACCGTCTTCTTCGCCTGCCCAAGATCCCTTTGAATCTTGCCTGATGCCGACCGCTATATATATTTCCCAAAAACCTGAATGATGGATCATCGTCGACTATATCAGACGTACAAATCTCGATGAGCGATGAGGGGCTATGCATGCTTCCGAGCAGTGAGGAATTTTTTTGCTGAATCTTGTCCGCCGGGAAATAATCGTGTGGAACGTGGGGGTGCCGGCAAACAATCCGCTGTGGAAGCTGAACACGGAGTTACGTGTTCTGGCGAATGTGTGGAGGAGAAGCATATAAGGGGAGCTATTAATCCTATTGGGTGTTTGTTTGTTGCATTTAGGGTGTAAAGTAATATAAATATTAGGGATGTCAATTTCAGCTCATTGGTAGGGTTTAGGTCGAACCCGAAACTGACCCGGCACTATTCAGGTCAACTCGAACCCAACCCGTTTTTGCATATGGGTCGATTTTTCAGACCCGAACTTGACCCGCTTCGGGTTCGGGTCAACCCGATCCGACCCGCTTCGGGTTCGGGTCAACCCGATCCGACCCGCTTCGGGTTCGGGTCAACTTGACCCGACCCGCTTCGGTTTGATTTTTCGAGTTCCCGCGCGGTGCAGAGGCAGGCCGGCAACGGTGCAGCGGCGGCGGCAACGGTGCAGCGGCGACAGTGCTGGCGAGGCAGGGGGCCCGATGCAAGGCGCAAGCGACGACGCGAGAGAACGGAGTGGTCACGCGACGCGAGCTATCACGCATGAGGCTCGATGCCTGTGGGGCAGGCGGGCAGCCCGAGTACGCGACAAGCGGGGTCGCTGGGCAGAGTCGGGCAGAGCGGGGCAGCCGGCAGAACGGGCAAATGGGTTTTCCAAGTCATTTTCGGATTTCTGGGTCAACCCGGACCCGACCCGCTTCGGGTTCGGGTCAACCCAAACCCAAAATTTTGGGGTTGGGTTCGGCTCAGATTTTCGGTTTGAGTCCAATATTGACACCCCTACTAAATACATTGGTTTTCAAAAATTTAATGTTTGATATAAAGTAAAATAAATGTAGTATAAAATGAGTGCATTCCAAATACTTCATGTAGTGCATTCTGAATGTTTATGATATTCCTCAAGTTTGTGTGATTTACAAATACACTGCAACTGTACCATGGCCACCACAACATTCTTGCAGTTTACATTGCATTCATTTTAATTCAAACCAAATAAAAAAAAAAGTAAACTCAAACATTTACTTTACATTTATCTAAATAACTCCAAAGCATTCCTTTTACAGTGCATTCATTTTGCATTGCATTTCTTTTTTCAGACAACCAAATAGCCCCTGAGAAAATTTGAGTCGAAAAATTAAAAAAAGGAGCAGCCAAAAAATTTGAATTGGTAAAAGGAGCGTGATTAGGATGTATTTTGATTAGGAGCAAAGTTGTAAAATATTGTAGCATATTTTGCGCATGCGAAGGCTTGAGACAAATTAGCTAAAATATTTGGCGAACTCCATAGGATTTGCCAGACTATTTGGAGATTTCCTCTAATACCTTTAAATTACCAAATGAATTGGCGAAATACCATGGGCCACACGGCCATTCACAAGCAATACACGTGTGGTTGTAGATCACATGTCGATTAAGGCTTCGTTTGGGAGGGTTGTAGCTATCGGTAAAGCATGTTGTGAAGTTGATGCTTAGAAAGCTACTTTCTAAAGTTGTTGTACATAAATCAATAATTGTGTTTGGGTAGCATAACTGCCGAGTTGCTATGTTGCTGTTGTATGACAACAAATTACTTTGATACCCTTTTATATATTAAGCAATACTAATGTTTAAATATGAATGTTTTAAAGATTTTGTGCAATATTTGAAACCTAACATTATCACTGCATTTGACAAAAATTGTTGAAATGAAAAATCAATTATTCACACACCAGCTAAGGTTCCAAAAAAAGCAATAGCTAGCTGATCACAAACGATATAAACCAGGGTCAAACCTAAATATATGTTCGTTTCCTTAAAATGTTATTAATTTTTCAAAATGAAATGGTAAACATCAAGGGAATTCCTTCCTAATTACTATAACTCTGCCTACCAAACTTTATTAATTATTATTGAAATGTCAGTGATTAAACTTTGTTTAATCTACTAAGAATTTCTAAAAAACTATAACAAAATAAGTCGCGGCAAGAAAAAAAAATGGCGAGATGTCACTGTAAGCAGATAATTGGAGGCGTGGATTCTGCCAAGAGAGGACAACGGTGAGGAGAGGCCGAAGGTCAAAGCATTTCGAGGGGAGGACGAGGATTGAGGACGAGGACACTGCATCTCAAGGTGTCTACCCGACATTGGGGCAGCCGAGAGAGAGAAAGACTATAAATGAATTGAAGAGAGGATGTGAAAAACCTAACCAAAGGAATCAAAGAGGTATTATAAGCAAACGTCATTGCGGAAGAGAGGTGCAACATCGGAACCGTGTCACTAGGACTACACCGTCGCGGCCACCGCCACCCAATGCTAGGGCTGCTGCTGCGGCGTGGTCGCGAGATAACATCGCTGACAACGAGGGAGAAGAAGTCTCGCACAAATGGGGGCATTTACGACATATTTTCCTTTTAAAACCACGGGAAGCAGCCGACCGCAGGAGGCTGTGGAAGGTTGCGGGAAGCAGCGACGAGCCGCAAAAAATTTTCTAACTTGGTTCTGCCGCAATACGCCAAATGAGCATTTAACAAATTTTTATAAAGCAACATAGCCGTAAAGCCGTCCCAAATGAACCCTAAATTGGATGGGTGAAGCGATTTAGGTAGGCAATAATGCAAGATGATGTACTTAATAATATTTTTTATGCTATAAATATAGGTGTTGTGGACCTCCGAAAGAGCACCGTTCGTGGGGTACGAACGCAGGGAGTATGGCCGCACTATCCCGTAGGATAAAACGATCGTAGGTCTCTATACTCGACACAAACAGGTCGATGGAATGTCAGATTGGATCATGCATACGACTAACCATTGAGGATAGAGGCTGTTGCCCACACACCCCGATGGGTAGTAATATACACGACCTAGTCACGGGTTTCCCCCATTTGATACAGCAGCTCGAGTGGGGTTTAGTAGATGTGGGACTGAGTTTTTATTACATCCCAGGCCGGAGCCCGAGAAAACTCTCGATTAAGGATAGTACATTATCCTTTCCTAAAGTGGGATTGGCACAAGGGGTATAGACTAAGAAGTCATACTCAAAAGAAAGAAAGGTCTGAAGGGCTGAATCAACATGCATGGCTCATACCAGCATTCGGAGGCTCTAGGGTACTAAAGAGAAACTGGAGAAAGAAAGGCAGGCAATCAATCACATGCGTGAGGGAATAGATTAGACCTGTCAATTTTGGGTTACGGGTCGGGTTGACCCGAACCCGAAACTGACCCGGTATTATTCGGGTTCGGGTTGACCCGACCCGGTTTTGCAAACGGGTCAATTTTCTGGACCCGCAGCGGGCAGTGCTGGGGCAGTGAGTGGGGCAGGGAAATTTGAATTTTTTTAAAATAAACGGGTTTGCTGGTTGACCCGGCAACCCGTCGGTTTTTCGGACCCGAACTCGACCCGCTTCAGGTTCGGGTCAACCCAAACCCGAAAATTTCGGGTCGGGTTCGGGTCGGGTTTTCGGGTCGGGTCCAATATTGACAGGTCTAGAATAGATGGAGGTGGCGTCATCTTGTGACGCAGATAAGTAGGATTTAGAGTCCCTGAAAAAAAGAGACCTACGTACTATTTAAGGCATACTACGAGACCGAATGTAGTAGCCTTGAATCCTAAATCTAGGTTGGGTTTAGTGTTTTACACAACACTAAGACTCGTGTCCTAGCTAACGTATTGCAAGACTTGGACTTACCCCAGCCTGGAGGGGAGCCAGTTAACCACCTAATCGCTTTAAAATCATGCTATCAAGTCAATTATGAAAGATGGATGGGTGGTACAGTTATTGAAAATATGATCGACATCTAGAGGATTTCTTAATTGTTCCTGAACTTTTGTGGGTCAGATGCTCCTAGCTAATACAATTATATTTTATTTTAATTAGTTACTAATGCAGTGCATGCTAGTTGGAATGTCAGCTCATGAATGCTATAGAATTTTAAAAATAGGCTTATAGAAAATAAATTTTTTAAAAAGACTGGGTCTCCCTAGGTCCGGCATTTCATCCTCATAGGCCAGATTATCCGGAGTCTACCCGCATGCAGGGAGATGTCTTATAAGAATGAAAGAGAAATTCAATAATATGTATGCGACCCAGGATAATTCTGGCAATTCCCTAGTTTCATTAAGTTTCTAGGTTATTTAAGACTTAAATATTAAATTTTGGTCATGAGTAGAAAAATTTTTATAGTCCTTAGAGAGCCTAACGATATACAGGTGAAAACAAAAATGGTATACAAGAAAAAAAACCTAAGAAAAGTAGACAATTTCTACTATACAATCAGGTAAACACATTAATATAAATCCAGAAAAATAATAAACTAAATGTCCTTAGGCAAATTGTCCATATTACAACTCAGATATGCAGAAAATAAAGTGGCCGGGCACCACTGCCAACAACCCGGATTTCTAAGCCTATGGTAGACGCAAATAACTTTGAGTGGGATATTGATCTTCAGTCTTCTGGGTGTCTTCTTCTCCTTGGACTCCTTGGAACTCTCCTCCTTGGATCTCCTCTCCTTGGACTACTTGGATCCGTCGTAGCTTGAATATCCAAACGAAGAGATAATTCCCCCTTGGTAAGGGGCATTGCCTTTTCTCTTTGGATATCTAAAACCATCCCACTTGATCTCCCAAATGGAAGAAGACTCTCCCCTATGAGGATGCATTCTTCTTTTGGGATTAAAGTGAGATAAGAATATCCACACTCAAAGTTATTTTTACAACTCTTAACAGTTATTACAAATATTACATCAAATGAAAATGGAAGATTCTAGACTCCCTGCATGGTTATCCTAATAAAAATCACAAGCAGTTTATATATTAAAATAAAGCTCAACCCATTGAAGCTGTGCCAAGCCATGCTCTTAATGATGAGGGCTAA